AATATCTGCTAATCCTTCTTTTCTTTTTGAATGTTCTGGATTATTATACATGTACATTGTACTATAGTTTCAGCCACACCTGCCCTTGCAGTAAACAGACTGCATTATGATTTCAAGGTCATTTGCACATCTTTGAATACAGTTGTATATAAAACATATTATTAATGTGTGGATATACTGTGATTTGACGAAATACAACTTTAGAGGGGAGAAAACTTAAAGCTATTTAATAGCTATTAAGATTATGCATATATGTTAGAAAAATATTCCTTTTATCTAGTTCTTTTAATTATTAAAACAATCCAGGCTTATGCAAATTTTAAAACATTAGTGTACCAAAGGATATAATGTGAAAAGTTAAATTCCTCTCTCCCTGTCCACCTGACAATCCCAATTCAAGAAAACTACTTTTAATGGTTTCTTACGTCTTCTTTTAAAAGTTTTCTAGGTAAATACATGCATGTATATGTTTACTTAACTTTACATAAAGAAAAATTCTAAATCGGTGAAACATTTTGGTTACTTGAAAAAATGTTAACGGTTTGAATTTTCATGAAAAATATATTTTGGTTATTTAAAGCCTTAGAAATTGGCTATATGATAAAAACAAATAGAAAAAAGCTTTAACTAACAGATAGATATTGCTTCCAGACTTAGCTGATAAAATGCTGTGTTTTCATTTTCCTCAAATTTGAGATAAGTTCAGCCTTTAACACAAAATTAGCACTTTGTGAGATAAATGTCATCGTTTTAAATTGAGGGATTTGTTCTTAAATTATTGTTTTCCAAATATTTTCCTCCATCTCCTTAAAATTTCTAAATCACTAACCTAGATAAATGGTGTAAAGGGTCCCCTGAAATCAGTCAGAAAGTAAAGTACACTGCATAACCCAGTGACTTCTAGCACTAGAGAGAAATCTTGCAATGGTTTGGTAGCCTGAGGTGAACTCGTTTTTCCCACTTGTCTCCTCCCTGTCCTTACTTTAACATAGAAAAGATTTATTTGATATTTTATGTTGCAATGAAGTATTTCTTCCTTATTACTCCCCCTTGTGACTCAGAAGAAGCATTCTTTAGGGTTAGTTTTTAGTCCGAAAACATTTACTGAGTTAAATAAGCCTAGTATAAAACTAAAGTCATAGGTGCTTATAGACCACTTTATTCCCCAATTTTCAGATATTGAAAAGATTTCATAGTAGCTGGTGGAGTCCTTTTAATTCCAGAACAATCTTGAAAACTATTAGTTTGAAATGTCCTGGTTTGGAGGAAACCTGAATGGTCCCACAGTCCCCAAGACTGACACAGAATTTAGATTGCACTTCATTCAGATCTGGTGATTACCCTAAAGCAAGTCTAAGCCTCAGGTAAAAGTTTTCTATAATTGCACCTACTAATGGATGTTCTACTCTGAGTTTTTAACAGTGTTTGGAACAGAATTGAGGATGTGTTTTTTGGTTTGGCCACCTTTAAGCAGGTAATCTTGCTTTAAGTATTATCTATAATCTTTGCAACGACCTCGCCAGGTAACTATTATTATCCCCATCTTACAGAATGATATTTCTAACATACATCATGTTGCTCCCCTGCTTAAAATCCATTAGTGGCTCCCCAAAGCTTTTGGGATCAAGTCCCAATTTTTCACCAAGACCTTCAGAACACAACTCCCAGCCTCCATGTCAGCCTCCTTCCTGGCCACTGTCCCATCCCATCACCAATGCCACCCCTTGTCCCCCATGTTCCATCATAATGCACTCTTAGCAGTGTTTCAATTTTACCTTGATGTTCCCCTCCACCCAGCCTCTACTAGCTTGCTCTATCCAGCTAAAATGCTCTTCTTACACTCTGCTTCACCCAGCTAATGTCCTTCAAGACTCACGTTAGACAGTCACCACCTCTAAGTTATTCTTGATCCTTTAGGGTTAAATGCCCCTCCTGTGGGCTCCCATCAGATGTGCTTCTTTTTATCACAGCACTCATACCGTATGGTACTTTTCTGTCTCCCCAACTAGACTGAAAGTTCCTTAAAAAGAAAGACAATGTTTTATTTGTCTTTAAGTGTCCAACACCTATGATAGAATATTTGATACATGTTAGGTTTAAATGTTGTTTGAATGAGTGACTTAAGATTTCTATCTTAAACCTTGTAATCAGAAACCAGTCTCAAGATCAATCTTCACATTTGATTGCATTTTTGCTAATTCTTGAAATATTGCCTATATCAATCTAGTGGTGGATTAGTCAGGACTCTTTTGGTTGCAAGTGATAGAAATCTAATTAAGGTTGGCTTAAGCAAAAAGGAGCAATTTCCTGGTTCAGTAACTAGACCACAGGGATGAATGGGCTCAGTAACCAGGACTCTCAGAATGCCCTTTATCTCCCTCTCTCACGTCCATTTCTTCTTGTGAGTTGGTGTCTTTTTCTCCTTTGTTGAGGAAAGATTTCTCTCTCCCAAATTCAGTTTTTAAAATCCCACAGACAGATTCGGCTTGTTTGGGCTATACACTTATCCCTCAGATCAGCGAAGCTCCTAAGGTTCACATTAGTAAAGGCAGTAACAGTGTCTGTGTTCATTCTATTTTTAAATCAATAAATACACATAATAATTTTAATTTGTAGATTTCCTCCTTAAAAAGGAACATTTGAGAGCCTCTGAGTAAACACGCACAGAGGTTGGGGAAGATGAGTTTGCCCAAGACAGTAACTCATTTAGTTTATTATTCCACTGGATACTGCTGGCTTCCATGATAGTTTTGACTATTTTGTGGCTTTAAAGTGTTATCTTTCATAGACATACACTGTTTACATAGTGCAAGAATTTCTTAACCTCAGCACTATTAACATTTGGGCCAGATAATTCTTTGTAGTGGTGGACTGCCCTGTGCATTAGAATGTTTAGCAGCATCCCTGGCCTCTACCACTAGACAACCCTGCTTCCAGGGTTGTGACAACCGGAAATGTCTACATTGTCCAATGTCTCCTGGTGGCCAAAATTCCTCCCCCTAACCCTTGAAAACAACTGACTTATAAGTCAAAGGCATGAAGCATAAAGAACAAGGGCATTGAAATATAGCCAGTATGAGGGGGATAAAAACGATAATAATTTTCCAAAATTGCCTCAAGGAGATTTTTGCCAGATCTATAAGTTGCATACATAAACTCTAAATTAATTTATAGTCTATTCTGTTTTTAGAGAAAAACAATGCTTTAAAAAATGTTAAAAGAGAAAATAATATATAATCATTAACATGATTACATCTAGTTTGACTTTTCACATATTGGGGAATAAAGATAGTACCTTACTGCCTCTGTGTTATTTGTTGATATACTTGAAAGAGCTGCCCTAAACCATTTCTCTTTTTTTTTTTAAAAAAGATGACCGGTAAGGGGATGTCAACCCTTGGCTTGGTGTTGTCAGCACCACGCTCAGCCAGTGAGCTAACCGGCCATCCCTATATAGGATCCGAACCCGTGGCCTTAGTGTTATCAGCACCGCACTCTACTGAGTGAGCCACGGGCCGGCCCTAAACCATTTCTCTTATATTAACCATTGGTTATTTATGAACAAAACACTAAACTTACTTTTTAAAAATTTGTCCTTTCTTT